TGGAGCGGCTGCAGCTGTGATTGATGGAACAGGGGACAGGTGTAGATGAGCGTGACTGGAGGATGTGACAGAACTAATAATTAACTGAACTAAACAAGAATCATAAAACACAGAAAATAAACTTGAAAACAAAAACTTCAAATAAACACCAAAAGACCTGCCAGAATGTAACCAGAAACCAGACCCTGACAGTACATGTTGTGTATATATCAACCTTTCAACCCCCCACCTGCTTTTTTATCTGTTTTTGAGGAAGTAAAGTCTCAAGTAGGAAGACCAAACCTCCTCTTTCCCTCTATATTTCAAAAACAATTATGACTTTGAGTCTTTGTACTTCTACTCACTTTGCTTTCATGGCATCTTGCTGTGACTCACATTAATCTCTGCACTAACCCTCTTCTCTCTCTCCCCCCCCCCCCCCCCCCGGCCTTCTTTAACTGTGACTTAGAGCCCCGTCAGTAAGTATTCACCCCCTGAAGCCTCTCGCAGATGACTTCTTGTCTCCTTGATTGTTTGAATGAATTCCCACACGTTGCCTGTTTGTGTATTTTATGTGCTCTTAATATAAAGGTTCTCCCCCAGTACCCGAAGCTCCGGACCGCCCCACCATTTCCATGGCGACGGAGAGTTCGGTGTACGTCGGGTGGATCCCGCGCGCCAACGGCGGGTCTCCGATCGCAGCCTTCCGAGTGGAGTACCGGCGCGGCCGCAGTGCAGAGTGGGTCGTGGCCGCTGACAACATCTCGCCTCTCAAACTGTTGGTGGAAATTCGAAATCTGGAGCCCGGTGAGTTTTTTTTTTTTTTTTTTTACCTCGCCCGAACGGTTTCTGAGGAGCGTAGTAAGAACATTTTCCAAATGTTTGTTTTCGTGCTCTTCCTCGTGCAGGGTCGGTGTACAAGTTTCGAGTCATAGCTGTGAACTCGTACGGCGACAGCCTCCCCAGTACCCCCTCCAAGCCGTACCAGGTGCCACAGGCCAGTCGCATGGCCGACCGCCCGGTGGTCGGACCTCACATCTCCTCGACGGACGCCATCAGCGACACGCAGATCATGCTGCGCTGGACTGTGAGTCTCACTGATTGTTTTCAACTTCTGTATCCTAAAATAAGTCTGGTCTGGAACTGTGAGCCTCACTGACACGAGCTGAAGTGTACAATTATCTTTTTAACAAGTTAGTTATGAAACCAGTGTAACCATTAGCTATAATGTAGGCGTTCACACCATTGTTCTCCTGTTTTTATATCTGTGTTTTTTTCCAGTCTAAGTACTTAATACCAAAGTTCATGCTCAATAATCCAGGTACAAAATCCAACAATTTTCAGTCAGGCCATCTGGACGGTTTCTTTTTTGCTGCTGAGACATTTCGCCTTCCATCCAGAAGGCTTCATCAGTCTGAGGAAACACCAAACAAAAATGCTTTTCCCCCCAACAGCTTACTCCAAAGTGGAAAAAAAAAAATATGTTGGTGCTAAGATGGTCTCTGTGGCATGCCCTCTCCTCCGGTGCCCACCCTCTCCCTCGTCGACAGTTCTGTCAAACTGGTTCAAAACACCAAAGTCCATGCTCAGTAATCTAGGTATAAAATCCAAGAGATTGACAAAACCTTCTGGATGGAAGGCAAAATTTCTTAGCACAAAAAAAGAAACCGTCCAGATGACCTGACTGAAAATTGATGGATTTTATACCTGGATTATTGAGCATGGACTTTGGTGTTTTGAATTTATCAACCTAATGTCTTGTTCTATTTCAGCTCCTCATGTATCAAAACCTTCGGCTCATTTAGGATATTGGAGCTATGACTTTTGGTTTTTTTGTAACAACTGACTGAGCAAAATGTCCATCGGTCCTGTTAGTGACTGTAGTCAAATAGTGTCAAAGCGTGAAAAAGTCTTGTTTAATTTAGAGTTTGAGTCAAAAAGCATCTGATATTTTGAGTCTGTTGGTGTAATCACAGTTAACTCTCAAGAGTCTCTGTGGCACAATGGTCAGCACAGTGGACTGGTAGCTGTACACCAGAGGAGCAGCTCAAAGGTTGAGGGTTTGAGTCCTACCAGGGTCGTGTCTTGACTAGACTAACAACATATGACCTCTCCAGCCATTTTTGACATAAAGCAGCAACGTTGTCCAGGAGTGTCCATGCCCTCAAAACATTCTAGACCTTCTTTGGATTTCTAATTGCAAGATTGACTGCAGATGTATCTGAAACTAATCACATGACTCTGTGGCGCAATGGACAGCGCGTTGGACTTCTAGACATGAGTGGAGTGATTCAAAGGTTGTGGGTTCGAGTCCCACCAGAGTTGTTCCTTTTGATTTGTAGACTAACTAGATTTGATCTCTTTGGCCATTTATGACATAAAGCATTAACAGTGTCCAGGAGTGTACGTGTCCTCAAACATTTTAGATGTTCTATAGAATTCTAACTGCAAAATTGACTTCATATGTATCTGAAAATAATCTTATGGCTCTGTGGCGCAGTGGACAGTGCATTGGACTTCTAGACTAAGCCTTGAGTGTTTCAAATGTTGTGGGTTCCAGGCCCACCAGAGTCATTGCTTTAGGGTTGTACACTAACTAGATATGACCTCTATGACCATCTTTGACATAAAGCTGTAATGTTGTCCAAGTCCTAAAACCTTTTAATTGTTCTTTGGAATTCTTATTGCAAGATTGACAGCAGATGTATCTGAAAATAATCTTTCAGACAGTGTGGTGCTGTTGCGCAATGGACAGTGTGTTGGACTTCTAGACATGGGTGGAGTAATTCAAAGCTTGTGTGTGTTTGAGTCCTACCAGAGTCAAAGCTTTAGACTTATAGACAAACTAGATACACCATTTTATTTATAGAGCACTTAAAACTGTGACAAGGCCAACCAAAGTGCTGTACAGACAAAACAGCAGGCAACACACAAAGAAATATACAAAATGAGGTAAATCAGAACATAGACATAAAAACGATGCAGATAATAAATATGACGACTAACCAGTGTGGAGCGTACAGGTTCAAAACACAGATCATCTGGTGTTGAAAGCTACTGAACAGTAGTGGGTTTTTAAACAATTTGAAAACCGAGAGGGAGGGGGCCTGTCTGACAAGCAGAGGTAACTCGTTCCAAAGTCTTGGTCCTGCTACAGAGAAGGAAAGCAGTAATGTTGTCCAAGTCCTCAAATATTTTATATGTTCTTTAGAATTCTAATTGCAAGATTGACTGCAAATGTATCTGAAAATAATCATCACATTACTGTATTCCTCTGTGGCGCAATGGACTGCACACTTGGCTTTTAGTCATGAGTGAAGTTATTCAATGGTTGAGGGTTTGAGTACCACCATAGTTACATCTTTAGTGTTGTATACTGACTAGATATGGCCATTTCTGACATTATAAAGCAGTAATGTTGTCCAATCCGTGTCCTCAAAACATTTTAGCTTCTTTGGAGTTCTAATTGCAAGACTGACTGCAGATGTATCTGAAGCTGAGCACATGACTCTGTGGCGCAATGGACAGCGCGTTGGACTTCTAGACATGTGTGCAGTGATTCAAAGGCTGTGGGTTCGAGTCCCACCAGAGTTGTTGCTTTAGATTTGTCGACTAACTAGATATGACCTCATTGGCCATTTTTGACATAAAGCAGTAACAGTTGTCTTGAGTATTCGATCCATGTCCTCAAATAATTTGAGCTGCTTTGGATTTCAAATTGCAAGATTGACTGCAGATGTATCTGAAGCTAATCACATGACTCTGTGGTGCAATGGACAGCTTGTTGTACTGCTAGACATGAGTGAAGTTATTCAAAGGCTGTGGGTTCAAGTCCTACCAGAGTCATTGCTTTAGATTTGTAGACTAACAAGATTTGATCTCTTTGGTCATTTATGACATAAAGCTGTAACTTTGTCCAGGAGTGTCCATGTCCTCAAATATTTTAGATGTTCTTTAGAATTCTAATTGCAAGATTGATTGCACATATATCTGAAAATAATCACATCATTGAGGTGCAATGGACGGCACATTGGACTTCTATACATGAGTGAAGTGATTCAAATGTTGTGGGTTCAAGTCCAACCAGAGTTGTTGCTTCAAGGTTGTATACTAGACATGACCTCACTGACCATTTTTGACATTATAAAGCAGCAACATTGTCCAGGAGTGTCCATTTCCTCAAAACATTTTAGAGCTTCTTTGGAGTTCTAATTGCAAGATTGACTACAGTCAAAAGTGTGGTGATTCAAAGGCTGTGGGATTGAGTCCCACCAGAGTTGTTGCTTTAGATTTGTAGACTAACTAGATACGATCTCTTAGGTCATTTTTGACATAAAGCAGTAACGTTGTCCAGGAGTGTCCAGTCCATGTCCTGAAATATTTTAGATGTTCTTCATAATTCTAATTGCAAGATTGACTGCAGATGTATCTGAAAATAATCACATGACTTTATGACTCTGTGTCGCAATGGACAGCGCGTTGGACTTCTAGACACAAGTGGAGTGATTCAAAGGCTGTGGGTTCGAGTCCCACCAGAGTTGTTGCTTTAGGGTTGTAGATTAATTAGATATGACTTTCTAGCAAATTTTGATTTAAAGCAGTAACATTGTCCAGTAGTGTCCAATCCATGTCCTCAAATCATTTTTGAGCTTCTTTGGATTTCTAATTGCAAGATTGACTTCAGCTATATCTGAAGCTAATCACATGACTCTGTTGCTCAATGGACTGCACATTAGGCTTTTAGTCATAAGTGAAGTTAGTCAAAGGTTGTGGGTTTGAGTCCCACCATAGTTGCTTCTTTAGTTTTGTATACTGTCTAGATATGGCCATTTTTGACATTATAAAGCAGTAATGTTGTCCAGTCCATGTCCTCAAAACATTTGAGCTTCTTTGGAGTTCTAATTGCAAGACTGACTGCAGATGTATCTGAAGCTGAATACATGACTCTGTGGCGCAATGGACAGCGCGTTGGACTTCTAGACATGAGTGGAGTGATTCAAAGGCTGTGGGATCGAGTCCCACCAGAGTTGTTGCTTTAGGGTTTTAGACTAATTAGATATGACCTTTCTGGCAATTTTTGATTTAAAGCAGTAACATTGTCCAGGAGTGTCCAATCCATGTCCTCAAATCATTTTTGAGCTGCTTTGGATTTCTAATTGCAAGATTGACTGCAGATGTATCTGAAGCTAATCACATGACTCTGTGGCGTAATGGACAGCGCGTTGGACTTCTAGGCATGAGCGGAGTGATTCAAAGGCTGTGGGTTCGAGTCCCACCAGAGTCGTTGCTTTAGATTTGTAGACTAACTAGATATGATCTCTTTGGTCATTTATGACTTAAAGCAGTACCTTGTCCAATTCCTCAAACTTTTTAATTGTACTTGTTCTAATTGCAAGACGTGATAGCAGATGTATCTGAAAATAACCTTTCAGTCAGTGTGGCTCTGTGGCTCAATGGACATTGCGTTGGACTTCTAGGCATGGGTTAGGGATTCAAAAGTTGACTGTTATAGTCGCACCAGAGGCAAGTCTTTTTAGGTTTGTAGACGTACTAGATATGACCTCTATCACCATCTTTGACATAAAGCAGTAACGTTGTCCAAGTCCTCAAATATTTTAGATGTTTTTTAGAATTCTAATTGTAAGATTGACTGCAGATGTGTCTGAAAATAATCTTTCAGACAGTGTGGCTCTGTGGCGCAATGGACAGTGCGTTGGACCTCTAGTTGTACACTTGAGAATTAATTCAAAGGTTGTAGCTTTGACTCCCAGCAGATTCTTTGCTTTAGTGGGTTCGAGTCCCACCAAAGTTCTTACTTTTGGGTTGTAGACTAATTAGATATGACCTCTGACAATTTTTGACATAAAGCAGTAACAGTGTCCAGGTCTTCAAACATTTTAGATGTTGTTTGGAATTATATTTGTAAGTCTGACAGCAGGTGTATCTGAAAATAATCTTTCAGACAGTTTGTCTATGTGGCGCAATGGACAGCACATTGGACCTCAAACTGTACACTTGAGAATTAATTCAAAGGTTGTGGCTTTGAGTCCCACCAGAGGTGTTGCGTTAGGGTTGTAGACTGTCTCACAACTCCGGCTATTTCTGACGTAAAGTTGTCCAGGTCCTCAAACATTTTAGTCTCTTTGGAATTCTAATTGGAAGATTGACTGCAGATATACCTGAAAATAATCACTCAAACATAGTGGCTCTGTCGAGATATGGACAGCGCATTGGACTTCAAGCTGTAGACCTTAAAAGGAATTCAAAGATTGTGAGTTTGAATCCCACAAGAGTTGGATTTTATTGTTGTAGACTAACGAAATATGACCTCTCTGACCACTTTTGACATAAAGCAGTAACATTGTCCAGGAGTGTCCATGTCCTCAAACATTTTAGATGCTTTAGAATTCTAATTGCAAGATTCACTGCCGATGTATCTGAAAATAATTATGTCGCTCTGTGGTGCAGTGGACAATGCGGTTCAGTTCTAGACATGAGTGTGGTGATTCAAAGGCTGTGTGTTCGAGTCCCCTCAGAGTTGTTGCTTTATGGTTGAATACTAATTAGATATGACCTCTCTGGCAAATTTTGACATAAAGTAGTAACATTGTCCATGAGTATCCAGTCCAGGTCCTTGAAACATTTAGTCCCTTTGGCATTGTAATTACAAGGTTGACTGATGATGTATCTGAAAGTAATCATGTGACTGTGTGGCTCAGAGGTACAATGGACAGAGCATTGGACTTCTAGCTGTAGACCTAAGAAGCATTTCAAAGTATGTGGGTTCAAGTCACTATAAAGTTGCATTTTTGGCGTTGTAAACTAACGAAATACGACCTCTCTGACCAATTTTGACATAAAGCAGTAACATTGTCCAAGAGTGTCCAGTCCATGTCCTCAAACATTTTAGACCTTCTTTAGAATTCTAATTGCAAGAGTGACTGCAAATTGTGGCTGTAACAATACATCGATTTAAATCGATATGTCTATTCAATGATTGATTCAATTATATTGTGGCAAAACTAAAACTTTGATTCATGTCGTCATCTTTAAAATACGCTTTTAATTTGAAATTCCCAAGGCAATCTGTGTCACCATTTCTGTGCGCGGCTGCGCTCTGAGGCCGCCTCAGCAACATGGCAGACGAGGCAGAAAACAGATGAAATTCACTCTCCTGCTGGATTTAAACCAACACTGTGAAAATATTTAGGATTCCAGCAGAAGAACGGCTCAACAGTCAGAACTCATGTCGTGTGCAACAGGTGCCAGTGTGAGTTCAAATACTCGGGGAAACACAACAAATTTGGCCGTTCACCTGAAGAAGAAACAACATTAACAGCCATGTTATGTAAGCTCAATATCTATTTTTGTTTCTTTATAACTGAAAGGTCCTCAGGACACTTTTAAGTTAACTGGTTTAAAAAAAATGTACTTAAACATGAGAAATGTGAGACTAAATTGAACAGGTCATTCTTTTTTTTTTTTCATTAATTAAGAAAAACATTTTTTTTTTTATTTAAATGCCTGGTGCCTGAAATAACAGAAATAAAACGGTTAAATCATATTTGAATAGTTTTTGTAATTTTATTTATATGTAAATGAGATGGACATTTGACATCGCAATATATTGATCGCAGACTTGTGAATCGAATAGAACCGAAATCGTATCGTGAGAGACTTTGTGATATCGAGAAAAATTGTATCGTCATACAAACAAATCAGTATATCGTATCGTGGTAAAGCTGGTGATTTACACCCCTACTGCCGATGTATCTGAAACTAATCACTCAGACTGAGGGTCTCTGTGGCGCAAAGTACAGCGTGTTGGACTTCCAGGCACGGGTGGGGTTATTCAAAGGTTTTGGGTTCAAGTCCCACCAGAGTCATTGCTTCATTAATGCAGAACAACTTGAAATATCTCCCATTAAACTCATGCATTTAAAGCAGTAATAAAGTCATATGTTACAGTGAAATTTAAAGTAAACTGGTTGTACGTCTCATTCTCTCACCGTGCGTTGATGACTCACTGGTGTGTGTGAAGGAACGGTGCAGCAGAATCTCACTTTTTTTCTGCTGCATTAACAAAGGTCATTTTACTCGACGGAAACTTTATGAATCCAGGTCTCAGAGTGGCGGTTTTTGAAAATGCCTGGCACTACGGATGGCAGCAGTCAGTAGTTTTTCTGTGCTTGTGTGAGTAGATGACCAGTAGCGGTGGTAGCTAGCAGAGCGCTGTTTGTGCTGCTCGCCATTACAAAGCGCTCGTTTGAAGAACTGTTGCGTTCACGAACACTTTTGAGACTATTTTATCTCCATGAAGATTTCTAATTGAAAGCTTGGGAGTTTGACTGCTGGCGTTTCTCTAATAGTACCTTTATTTACGTTGCTCTATGGCACATTGGACTTCTAGCCAAACCCTGGAGAAGTTACTCAAAGGTTGAAGGTTGGAGTCCCACCAAAGTCAGAATTATAGATTAGCTTGCAGTAACCGTTCTGTGTGTTTATTAGAATGAAACATGTTTATCTTGTTTAAAACAACAGCGGAGTCTGAACATTTTTGGGAGTTTTGCGTTAAACAGAACGGTTTTTAACCAAACCCGTTCCTTGAGACACGCTAACTTGTTCCGACACTCCTGATAGCAAAGAATCGAACAACTTATTGTCAAATTCTGGAGAATCTTCTAAAGCCCCTTATCCACAGGGCTGGTTCTTGTTGGACCCTGTTGTGTCCGATTCTGGTGGGACCTCTTTTTTTCTGTCTCCACAGTGCCCATAGTTCCCGTTTAGTGGGCGGATTGTTAATATCAACACACCTTAGCAGCTGGTGGCGCCAGTGCTACATTAAGCTCTTTTCTAAGCACCACTAACATGTATTAGAAGAAGAAGAGCTGGAAAACAACACAAAACCAAAATGGATGACCTCCTTGATCTCTGCCCTCCACCAATGAATACGCCCCCTGACCAATCAGTGACCTACAGTGCGCTGATGTCACATCTAGACCCAACAAGAACCAGACCTGGGACCTCAGAGAAGTAGGTCCCAAAAATGGGATGGGTTCCACTGCTGAAGGCATTGTGGATAAACCACGCAATCGGCCCGAACTAGTTACATAGGAGCCCCAAAAGGCCCTGTGGATAAGGGGCTTAAAGGACCCATCAATTTAAAACCAGTTGCGTTGGAGCAGGACTGGCGGAAAAAACTGTTGAATGTTTGTATGTTGAATTTCTGTCTCGGTTCCGATAAATACAGTCTTAAATGACTTAAATGAGCCGCTGTGTTGATTAGCCACCGTGTTCTGGTTTCTCCTTGTTTTGATTCAGTCGTTTCTGCGACAGTTTGAGCTGCAGATTAGTTCAGACGACCCCCCCCCCCACCACCACCACCACCACACCCCACATGTAGCCTCGGACAGCCTCGTCAACTCCTGAAACAGGCGTCGTCTCTGTTCTGTGACTGTCCACTCTCCAGCAGGTTGCCCTTATCTAACAATGTTTCCTTTTTCTTCCAGTACAATCCGTCGAGTAACAACAACACTCCAATCCAGGGCTTCTACATTTACTACCGGCCCACGGACAGCGACAACGACAGCGACTACAAAAGAGACGTGGTGGAAGGTAAGAAAACTGCTCGGTGTGTCGACGCTCGCTCCATTTTTAATTTTCCGTACTGTTGTTGCAATCTGCTCAACGAGTACCTTTGGGGCTGCAGTGGATCAGTGGTTAGAGCAGTCTTCCTCCAATGAGGTAGTTGGACGTTCAATTTCTCTAGTATGTAGTCACACGCTGAAGTGGGTGGGACACTGAACCCCCCATCACCCCCGATGTGTCCCATCAGGGTACGAATGTGACGAAAGGCTCAGACTGTCTTCGTAGAGTTGTACAGATGAGGAAATGAAGGCACAGATTGTGTTGTGGAGCTCTTTGAACAGCCTTCTTTGCTAAAAAGGCTCTATGTAGGAACAATCCATTATGGGTTTGTAATTCTTTGACTTTTTAAAATATTTAACATGATTTACAAATATTTTTCCATAGAATTACATTAAGATTTCTTCAACTCCTTCAAAAATATTGTTCTTTTTAAAATCTGCCTCAGTAAACATGCTCTGTTTTTGTCTTCTTTTGCTATTTTTAGATTTGTATACCATTCTATTTTAGCTATCCTTTTGCTACTTGTAGACACTGTTCTGCTTCTAGCTGTTCTATTGATACATTTAGCTTCTAGCTACTCTTTTGATGCTTTGGGTTTTAGTTAACCTTTCTCTGCATGTAGTTTTTAGCCGGTGTTGTGTTACGTTTTGCTTTTAGCTAGTGTTTTTTAGCTTTTTGCTATCGTTCTGCATTGTTCAGCTACTGCTCTGCAACTTTTAGTTCATTCATTCATTCAACCTTTATTTAGACAGGTAGACTGATAGTTACCTTTCTGCTATTTCTAGCTAGCCTTTTGTTACTTTTAGCCAAGTTCTGCTTTATTCAGCTGCTGCTCGGCCACACATAGTCCTGCTACTTCTAGCTACTCTTTTGCTACTTTTAGTGTTGAGATACTTTTTGACTTTAGCCACACTTTTGATACCATTAGCTAGCCTTTTGTTGCTTTTAGCTGTTTGTCTGCTGCTTTAGCTTTTAGCTAGCATTTTCCAACTTTTTGTCTTTTATCTAGTGCTTTGCTTCTTTTAGCTACTCGTTTGCTATATTCGGTTACAATTCTTATACTTCTAGCTAAGCTTTGCTACTTTTAGCTCAAAGCTACTCTTGTAGCAATGGTTTTAGTTACTCTTTTGCTACTTTTAGCTAGTGCTTTGCTCTTTTCAGGTTTAAGCGAATGTTCAGCTTCTTTTAGCTACCGCTCTTCTTTTTGTTACAGTTCTGCTACATTTAGCTCATGTTCTGCTTATTTCAGTTACTGTTCTGCTAGCTTTAGCCAACTTTACTAGTCTTAACTTCTACTCAGCTTTTTTCTGCTTTTAGCTCCTGGGTACTCTTTTGCTACTTTAGGTTTTGGCTAATTTTTTTGCTTCTTTTAGCTAATGTTCTGCTTCTACCCCTCTGCTGCTTTTAGTTACTGTTTTTTTTTAATTTTTTTAGTTAGATCCTTTCCATACTGTTAGCTAGTCTTTGCTACATGGAGCTAACATTTAGCTACTTTTGACTTCTAGCTAGCATTTTATTAAGTTTGGCTTTCAGCTAGTGCTTTGCTCCTCCCAGTGTTCAGCTTGTGATCTGCTTCTTTTAGCTGAAACAACTCGGCCTCAGCGTTCGGCCTGTATTTGTGTAGGAAGAAGCTCTTCCTGTCGTCTCCTTCAGATTGAGTTAGCAAAGCGTTTGTTGACAGCCTCAGCCGGTCGTAGCTGTAAACTCACACCACTCAGATCGACTGGGAGTGGAACGGATACCAGGAGGAGGCATTCCTGCACGGTGATTTATAGACGGCTCTTTCTCTGAGCACCAAACCTGTTGTTAATAAGCCGTTGTCGCAGGATAACGGGTCCCGAGCTGAAACCCGAGCCCGGCTGGAGCCGAGCGGGTCGGGTTGCTGCTAACGGCCGCTCCTGCTGCAGGAAGGAGAAACGTCTGAGTCGCTGGGGGACAAATGTGCAGTTAAAATGTCAAAAAGTACCTCCGGTTTTTCTTTACAAATGATTAACTTTTGGAGTCAACCTGATTCAAGATGGCTGCCCAAGCTAGTCTTCATTAGCAAACACAAAAACTCTATAACTCAGTTAGTTTTATGGATGTTGAGCTAAAATTTGGTGTGGTAGTAGCTGAGATTTATCTTCCGAGTGCTAGCAGATCACAAGCTCTGTTTTCCTTGGCGTTTCCTCTTGGTGTCACTAATGTCTGTCTGTTAGCAAAATATTTCATGAACTGCTAGGTGGATTTTAAAGAGACTCTTCAACAGTAATCAGTGGATGTTTGTCTAGAACTGAGCAACATTTGGAGCCAACCAGAATCAACATGGCCGCCACAGCTAGTCACCTTCAGCTAACACAAAATAGGCTTTTACTTAGTTAGTCTTATAGTTATAGAGCTAACACTTAGTGTGGTAGTAGCCCTTAACAAAAAGTAGTACGTTTGAAGTTCATTTTTACAAGTATACTTTAAGTTAAGTATAAATATATCAAGTATATTACACACCATGTACTTGTAGTGTACTAGAACGTATACCGATTTAATACTTATTCAGACTAAATTGGGACATTTTTAGTTTATAAATGTATACTTCAAGTATACTGTTGTAAGGTCGTTTTTAAGTTTACCAAATTATACATTCAAGTACACTCATCTATATACTATTAGTGTACTATGTATACACTTGTGGGTCACATTTTAGTTAGTTGAAGTACATTTAAAGTATACCATAAGTATACTTTTCTCTATACTGCCATTGCACTAGTTATATACTTCTAGTCCACATTTCAGTTTATTTAAGTATACTTTAAGTACAGTTTTATGAATAAAGAGAAATAAAGAGTAATAAAATATAATAAAGAAAATATAAAATATAATCATAATAATAAAGAAATAAAGAGTAGCATATACTAAAGTACAAGTATAAGCTTTAGTATTAAAGTATAAGTTTACGGTAAGGCTTAATATTAATGTACTTAGTCTTAGATTTCTCTTTATACTTTTCAGTATTAGCAAATAAAGTTTATAAAAAGTAAACTTCAAGTACAGTTCCTCATTTTTAGTGTAAAACAAGTATACTTGTAGTACACTTAAATAAACTACTTTTTACTAAGCTGAGGGTCACCTGCTCTACATAATCTGAGCACAAGCAGATTAAGTGTGATCTGTGTTTACAAGGTTGGGATTAAATCTTGGTGTCAAAATGTCTCTGACTCGGTCAGTTCTTCAGATACAGAACCAAAATTAGATGTGGTAGTAGCTGAGAGTCATGCCTTGCTCATACTTTGAGCGCTAACTGTTAGCACAACGTCTTTGTTTTTGGTGACACACATTCCGCTTGATTCGTCCTCGTTTGTTGGAAATGTAGCGTTTCCACGTCGAAGGCGTCGTCTCATCTGTGATTCCAGAGGACTTTGAAGTGTGACAGTGTGTGTGTGTGTGTGTGTTGGGGGGGAGATACTGGAGGCGAGCCAGAGCAAACATGAAGCTGCCAAATATGGAGCTTGACTGAAGTAAAACAAGTGTCTGGGCCCTCGGAGGAGCCTCGAGCAAAGACTGACTCAACAGGAAAGTACTGGTTGAAAACGAGTGAACGCTGACGTCTGTGGTTTTCCAGGTGTAAAAAACTGGCACATGATCGCGCACCTGCAGCCGGAGACCTCCTACGACATCAAGATGCAGTGCTACAATGGCGGAGGGGAGAGCGAATACAGCAACGTCATGATCTGCGAGACCAGAGGTAAGAAAACTCGGCCGCGCGAGGAACGACTCAGCAGAAAAGTTTCAGCGTGACGGGTCGGATCCACAGAGTTACAGTTTACGGTTTGGTTCCTGCTTTTAGCTCGTCAGTCATCGGGCTCGCCCAGTCAGTACCCCTTCACCCCGCCTGGTCCCCACCCTCCAGAGTCCCCCAGCTCCCCTGGAGGACTGCTGTACCTGATCGTGGGCTGTGTCCTGGTGGTGATGGTGCTCATCCTGCTGTCTTTTATCGCCATGTGTCTGTGGAGAAACCGCCAGCAGAACAACATGCACAGTAAGGGTCAGCATAAACAACAAGCGCTCAAGAAAATGCAGACATTCATTAATATTTGGCCTCTTGGCAGCTCTGTTACCATCATATACCAAGTATTGGTTTCCAGTGCGTATACAGGCCCCAAGGTGCTCGCAAAAGTCTTGGTCGTTGTTCAAAACACTCTTTTTTCAGATGTTGAAATAATTCTGTGATAATTCTGATAATTTTTCCATTTGGTATCTAGGAGTAAAAAAAGATCACTATAAAAAAATGGGTTGCCATGTCAAAATCCAAGATGGCCACCACTATATACTGTAAATATGTAAACCAGTCACCCCTAATATTTGACGGAACTATGCTTTCTAGTTTTTATATTGCTAAAAGTATAGTTTCCTCAAATGATTGGGGTGGCCGTCAGGGTGGCCGAAGTTTAATCATTGGGGGCTAACGCCACCGTTGGCCATCCCCTGACTCCATCATTGTTTCTTATGGTAGCTCACCAGGATCTGTCACCATCTGTTCTTATATTCATTGTAACTCCTACCCACTTCAATATCTTGCATAGGCCTGTCGCGATAAACAATAAATCAATTAATCGCATGATAAATGAAAATTATCAACCTCATTTTCATTTATCGGCTTTATCGTTTCTTCGTGTCTCTCTCTTTCTACTGAAGACACTGAATGACAAAAGGCACAACTCTGGTGTTTTTCACTGACCCCTCCCTTTCTCTTTTCTCTTTAAAATCTATTTTAACCGTCCAAAATTGCGTTTTTGGCTAATTAAAACAGCTAAGCTACGAGCTAAGCTATGAGCTAAGCTAAAAGGCTGACCTTGTGAAAAAATCTCTGTCTTGTTGAAGCTCCAGAATTCACGGTTGAAACCCGTGCCTTCATGTAAAAAGTTGTTCTGCAAAAAGAAGCTGGGAACTTGTTTACTGATTTGTTTATTAAAAGCTTTGCGTGACAAATGCTATGCTAAAGAGCTCAAACCACACTGAGCGTCAGCCATTTTGAGAACAGAAGAAAAAGGCGAGACAGCTCGTGTCATGTCAAGGGGCCTCCCTCCCATTTTTCTTAAAGATTCACGCTGCTCGCTCCCTCACTATCCATCCTTCGGTTCAAACCGTCTTATACTGCCATCCAGTGGTCACAAAAGGTGCTACACGCAAAAATTAACCAACATTTCTTCTTAAATTTGACAACAATTACTAATTATTGTCAAGTTTCAAACAATATTATCGTTTATCGCAATAATTTCTGAGACAATTCATTGCCCAGCAAAATTTATTATCGTGACAGGCCTAATCTTGCACCAAAAACATTTAGGTTTACTTGCATTCCTTGTTCAATTCCACTCCAGAAAAACACTTATCTTGAAAACTATAAACATTCACTGTTCAAATCCCTCAGCGACGGGGGACATCAGAGTACCACTTGTTTTCAATCAGCAGATTGCAGAGGGGACACGGTTTTTAATCCGGTTAGTAACTCTGCTGATTGCGTTGGGTCCCGTTAGTTCAGTAGAACGTCTGACCTGGCTCACGATGGATTGTGTTCAGACCGTCAAACATGAATAAAAGGGGTTCAGATCGCCTCTGAGCGAAGACGTTTTGTGCACCGAGGGCATTCACACCTGTATTTAGAGCTGTCAGATCACACACAGATGTTGGTGTCAGGTATGAACGGTTTATTGGAAAGAGTTTGTTTAAAGCTCTGAGATCAGACCTGGAATCAGTTTATGTCCTTTACTCTGCAGAGTACGACCCTCCTGGTTACCTGTACCAGTCAGCAGAGCTGAACGGTCACATCCTGGAGTACACCACGGCGGCGCCGGGCGGCAGCCGCGTCAACGGAGGCGTCCACGGTGGCTACGGGCACGGCGGCCAGGTGCTACCGCAGGGTTGCCATCACCTCCACCACAAGCTCCCCAATGGCTTGGCGCTGCTCAACGGCTCGGGCGGCGTGTTCTCGCCCGGCCACCCACACGGCCACGACGGCGCTTTGCCTCGGAGCGCCCATGACTGCGAGCACTCACACCCCCACCACCACCTCAACGTGAGTCGGAACGCTTTCCAAACTGAGAGACATGAAAGTTTGTAAACGCATCTCGTGAGATCTCAGCGTGAGGTTTGATGAAAACATCTACAGCGCCGTCATTTCTCAACAAAACAAAATCTTAGTCTGAACCTTTGGCCTTAAACCCGACTCAGTGATGTTGTTATAAAAACTGACTTTTTGTTTTCAGGGTGGAGGAATGTACACGGCTCTTCCTCAAACAGACAACTCTGACTGTATGAGCTGTCAGAACATTTGCAACAACAACAGGTGAGACAAGAAAACCGTACTATTACATTTTTAGTGTCCTTATGCTACCTGTTTTGAAGATTGTTGCTTTCAGGATTCACAATTTGTTTTTTCTCTCTTGCTCACCAAATTTAACTTGATAGCTGCACGACTGACCGAACTACAGCCGTTTTTGTGTTTTCTAGGGTCAATTGACCTTGGCAGCCATCTTGGATTAGCTTGGCTCCAAGTGTCAAATAGTTGAAGATGAACACTAAGTGATTATTCCCTGAACGGTTCATTAAAATCCATTTTGTGGTTCGTGAGATATTTTGCTAACAGACAAACAGAGTTGATTCTAATAGTTGATGGCAAAGTTTTTAGGTAAAATCCTGCATAATGCGTACTGCTCAGAGTGTGGGTTTGAGATGACTCTCAGCCACTACTTCACCAAACTTTAGCTCAATATCTGTAAAACTGGTTGAGTTGCTGCCATTTAAATGTTTGTTCAAGTCAGTTGGCTGCGGCGGCCATCTTGAATCAGGTAGACTCCAAAAGGTAATCAGTTGATGAACACCTAATGATTATTTCCTGAATGTGTCATCAAAATATTTCCACTGATTCATGAGATATTGTGCTAACAGACTAATGAGTTGGGGATCAGTCTCAGCTACTACCACATTAAATTTTAAATAACGGTTTGTAAAATCAACTGAGTTACATGCTCAGACTCTTGCTGCGGCGGCCATCTTCAATCAAAGTTTCACTAAAGTTCCTGAGATTCATTCAACCTTTATTTATACAGTTAATCCCGTTGAACCTCGGGGACTCATTTACAAGAGAGACCAGATTTTAACAGAGTGATGACAACAGTAAACAACAATAGACAATCATAAAGGATCCGTTCAAATTATTTTATTTATTTATTTTTAACAAGTGAAGTTAAAATGGTAATTATGGTAAAAGGATAATTAAAAGGAAATGTAAAATAAAAAACAGCTAGATTATAAGAAGAAGATGTAGAAAACTAAAATCAGGAACATGTCTGCATTGGTTTTTCCCAGGAACTTAACATGTTTGAAGCCACTTAGAGGTCAAGGTCGAGAGCTTCAGATCTTTTTGTAAGATATTCCAGGAAACAGGAGCGGAGTAGGAGAAGGCCCTTTTGCCAAGTTCAGTCCTCACTGAGGGAACACTGCAGGTAATAATGTCCTGAGAGCGCACGCTGTAGCTGCACTCACGCAGAGACATGTAGGAGGAGATGTATGAAGGCACCAGACATTTAGGACAAGTTTGAGACGGAGCAAGTCTGACTGGATGATGTCAAAAGCGGATTGCAAAAGCTGGAAAACCTTAGCAACTGTTTTAGCTCGACAATAAACAACTGTGTCATCAGCATAGAAATGTATGGATGAGCCGGAAAAGGGTAGAGTGCCCTCTCTGGGTCAGGGAGGAGGTCCTACCCCAAGTGGAGGAGTTCAAGTATCTTGGGGTCTTGTTCACGAATGAGGGAAAAATGGAACGTGAAATCGATAGGCGGATAGGTGCAGCATCTGCAGTGAAGCGGGCGCTGTACAGGTCTGTCGTGGTGAAGAGAGAGCTGAGTCAAAAGGCGAAGCTCTCAATTTACCGGTCAATCTACGTTCCCACCCTCATCTATGGTCACGAGCTTTGGGTTGTGACCGAAAGAATGAGATCTCGGATACAAGCGGCCGAAATGAGTTTTCTCCGCAGGGTGTCTGGGCTCTCCCTTAGAGATAGGGTGAGAAGCTCGATCATCCGGGAGGGACTCAGAGTAGAGCCGCTGCTTCTCCACGTCAAGAGGAGCCAGTTGATGTGGCTTGGGCATCTGTTTAGGATGCCTTCTGGACACATCCCTGGTGAGGTGTTCCGGGCACGTCCCACGGGGAGGAGGCCCAGAGGAAGACCCAGGACACGCTGGAGGGACTATGTTTCTCGGCTGGCCTGGGAACGCCTCGGGATTCCCCCGGAGGAGCTGGCCCAAGTGGCTGGGGAGAGGGAAGTCTGGGCCTCCCTACTTAGGCTGCTACCCCCACGACCTGACCCCGGATAAGTGGAAGAAAATGGATGGATGTATGGATGCATCAGGGATGCTCTGACCTACATTACCTATGTAGATTGTAAAGAGGTTGGGTCCTAAGACTGAGCCTTGTGGTACATTGTTAACAGATAACTGGAAGAAATACCATTATGTTGAACACATTGCCTCCAATCTAAGATCAGAAATATCTAAGAGATATTTTGCTAACGCTATAGATGAACATTATCTTTGTATATTGTTTTCCTCCGTAATGAGGAGAAACTGAACTGTTGCTTTAAGGAGAGGAAAAAAATGGCAGAGATGGCAACCATATGAGCCTTGTTGGTTTTAAAAAGTAAAACTGTGCCGAAAATCCTAAATATTCCTCATATTTTATGAACTGAAAAGGAAATGCTTGAGTCACACACAAACACACACACACCTCCTGCTTGTCTTGTTTATGTATTTAAGGGTTTCCAGCATCACAGTTTACTCAAAGTGCATTCAGCCAGCAGACGTAATGAGTTCTGTGTTTATTTACCTCCGGCTGCTGTGTGTGTGTGTGTGTGGGGGGGGGGGGGGGGAGGGGGGGGGTCGCAGCCCAGTCTTGGGCCTGTGGAGAGACGTTCGGTTCTGGTGAAACACTGTTAAACAGTTTGAAGTTACTTTTAAAGCTCCAGAAGCTGGACTCTCAGTCTGTGGTTGGATTTTTAGAAAACGGTTCTTGGATGGCGCTCGGTTTTGCGTTTCGTACTGGACCTTTAGGGTCAAGGAACCAGAACTGCTTGTGGAGGACTGACCACCTTCTCTCTTCTCTCTGAGCAGATGTTACAACAAGACCAACGGCTCGCTCCCCAACGGCTCGCTGCCCCTGATGCATCGCGCGGCGCCCTGCCAGCAGGACGGGCTGGAGATGGTGCCGCTGGGCCAGGTATCACCGCGGTGCCGAGGGTCCGAGCCAGAGGTCAACTTGAGGTACCAGCCGGACGAGCACAAGGAATCCTCGCCATCACAGAACTCGTGCTGCCTGATCCAGAACAATGAAAACTCTACAGAAGATAGCACCGGTGAGACACCATTATTTTAAACTTGTTTCAATAAAAATGGGTCAAATTTCAGTAACATCACTCCAGTTATTTTTTTTCTGATACTAAACTGATGGAAGTGTAAGTTTGCAACATGACAGCAATGACTCTGGTGGGACGTGAACCCACAACCTTTGAATCACTCCTCTGTTGTTCAACTAGAAGTCCAACGCGCTGTCCATTGCACCACAGAGCCAAGTGGTTGTTCACTGGTATTTTCAAATCTACCAGCCGTTTAACTCCCAATCTTCCTGTTTGACCTTCCATCATATGAAGATAGATTTGTCTCAAAATGTTTTCACTTAAGCATGAGATCTGTTTGCTTTTTCCAAGATTCAGAAAGGCATCAAAGTTTTCCCAAATGGACATGTTTAAAACTGTACCAGGAATACCAGAATGTTCATTTTTACTGCCAGAGAAGGAGAGAGAGTTGAACTCCCTGTTTTGAATTCCTCCATGGATTTGTATTCCAGTCTATGGAGATAAATTCAATTACAAAGCTTTCACAAAAGCACAAGAATCGCACGTGTACCCCAAGATTCACAAATGCATCAACAATTTTTCCAAATATTTACATTTTATACTGTACCAAGATTACCATACTGTTGTCATTTTTTACTGCAAGAGAAAGAGGCTGATTACAGGTAGTTTTCAATATTGAAATAGTGACAATGGTGGGACTTGAACCCACAACCTTTGAATCACTTCTTTAGTGTCCTACTAGAAGTCCAATGCGCTGTCCATTGCGCCACAGAGCCACATATCTGGTATGTTTGAGTACCCAGCAGACAAATGAAATTTTGACCTGTAGTCAAAACGGAAAAAGTCATGATTTGATTTAGAGTTCATGTCAGACAGCAGCTCTGACTTGAACAGACTAATATCACTGACAGTGATTTTGACTGAGATGATGTAATTTCAGTCACCAAATACAAAGCTCTGTGGCATGATGGAG